AGAGGTTAAAAAGTTCTTTTAAAACGTTCAAATGAGAGTGTTAAATAAAAATTCAGTATTACTAATAATAAAACAAAATGTTTGATGAAGTAATTAACTTTTATAAGAGCCAATCTAATATTATTAAAATGTAACTTATTCTAATATTATTCAATTAATTTGTAACAAGCAAAGCAAGAACATCAGCCGTTAGAAGTTCGCCAATTCTGTTTTGTAATTCTTGAAGCTCTTAGAAGATACTATAGGGTTCGACCAAATTAGAAGGTGGTTAAACTGATTTCTCATCACATTACCTCCTGAAATTTTTGCACTGAGATTTAATCGAACTTTGCAATTTTTTTTATTTTAGACTTCTTGTGACTCCTCTGAATATAATCCCAAAATTATGAAAATTATGAAAAATACGAAAAATTTGAAAACTTTGTAAAAAATGATCGCCATCGGATCACATATATAACAGAAGTTATATCATGCACATAATTTTTTTTTTTACTTGACTTCTGTTTACTTTTAAAAGTAAGCAGAAGTAAAATTAAAAAAATATTTTATATGCATGATATAACTTCTGTTATGTATGTGATCCGATGGCGATCATTTTTACAGAGTTTTCAGACTTTTCGGATTTTAGAATTTTTCAGAATTTTTATAATTTTAGGATTTTATTCAGAAGAGTCACAAGAAGCCTAAAATAAAGAAATTTTTAGACCAATCAAAAGCCTTTAAAAAAAATGGGAAAAAACTTATTCATGTTAATTTATCACCTAAAATAAGGAAATTATTTTTAAAACAGAAAAATTGTTTAAAAAAAGTTTTTAAACTAGAAAATAATTTTTAAGCTGCTTTCAACAGGGAAATTTAAAAAATGCGGGCTGGGCACCTTTTCCACTAAGCCCTTCATATAGCATTAACATTATCATTAAATCTAAAAGTAAACGCATTTATGACGCATACTATTTTTAGTCATTTCATTTTTTTTTCATTTTTCATAAATTAGACTTCTAACAGTTTGAGGCCGGCAATAAATTGTCGACCTCAAGTTGTTAGAGGTTGGCATAAGGTTGGTAAAAAAAAATTGACACAAAGGGGTTACCATAAAACATAGAAACAAGGTCGGCAATTTTTTGCCGACCTCAAACACTTTTTAGGACGGCAGTTAGGGATGTATACACACACACACACACACACACACACACACACACACACACACACACACACACACACACATATATATATATATATAAATATATATATATATATATATATATATATATATATATATATATATATATATATATATATATATATATATATATATATATATATATACATATATATATATATATATATATACATATATATATATATATATATATATATATATATATATATATATATATATATATATATATATATATATATATATATATATATATATATATATATATATATTCATTTTCATTTTCTGATTTATTTGCATTTATAGATAAGAAATACAAAAAGGTAATATCAAAATTACTCTTATGTAACACCGACAAAACAAGAAACAAAAAAAAAACTGGTTAAAATAGTGTGCAATGGTGATAGACATAGTCCTTTTTTAAATTTGATTTGAGCAAAGACAAAGTGGGCGAGTATATACCATATAATCAGATAGAAAATCCCGTATCTTGATAAGTCTTTCAAAGTAGAAAAATCTTCGTGTATTATTTTTACATTTAATACGTTAATAAAGTTTTTGTGCATGACATTTTGTAGGATAGTAATAAAGAGCAAATGTAAAAAACTCAGAAAAAAGTAGATCGACAAGATTGTGTATAATTTTATAGGTCATTACAAGATCAAATTTTATTCTACGGCATTCAAGGGTTTCTAGATTGAAGATATTAGATATTAGATACTAGATTGAGTCTTAGATGTCTATATAGACATCTAAGTTTAGATGAAAAAAAAATTATCTATACACGGTCTATTTTATGCATCTAATATGCATTTAAAACAGAGCAAAAATAGTATCTCTAGAATCAGACGTCTTTTTGATCTCTATTATACGTATAAAATATACGTATCGGAAATAGATACAAATTAAAGACCAATTATAGACGGTCTAAAAGACGTCTATTGTTTGCAGGGAGTACACTATATTTCGTTGAGAAATCTCGCAAAAAGATTGTTTTAATAATTCAAATTTTTTTTGAAATGTTTTTAATGTTTAAATCCAAAATTGAAAATAAATTTACATCTAGTCCTTGCGTTATGTTTGTAGATTTAGGGTTAATAATAAGTTAATAAGAGTTATATATGTAATATAGTATTAATCTTTTGAAATATTTGTTATTATATATGTTACATCTTATAGCTATAAGATGTCTTTTATAGATTTGTTATAAAAACAAGAAATTAATTTTACGGAGCGATAATTATAAATGACCGCCATTTAAAAACCCTGCGGAAACTTATTTCGAAAAAAGCATGAAGATTTTAACCTATGGAAGACATCAATGATTATTTCTTTATTATTATTATTTTATTTATTTAACACCCAATTTACAAGGTAAAAAGAAAAAAATAAGAAAGTTATTTCGGATGACTTTGCTTAAAAACGTTTTCTTCCAGAATTTGCTTGAGAACTCCTCTTTGCTCTTTTGCATTCCAGCACTCTATTGCATACTTCAGGTTTCGTTCAACTTCGGAAGGAATTTTACTTTTAGAAAGTGGTATTTTTACCTTCTTTTTATTTTGAATTAAGTTTTGAAAATTTAATATCTGAAGATGGCATAGTTCCTGAATATCACTAACAAACGAATGTTGAAATAACGGGTGTTGCAGTTGTGAAAAGATAATGTCTGCAGTTGTTTTGTTATTAAGAAGTCGAAGGAACAAGTTTAACTTATTTTGTTGAACACTTTTTGAAATTTCCTGGATTTTAAATAACGAATTCATATAGTTTTTACTATGTTTTGAAACATTTAAAAACGATTTTAGCGCACTCCTTCCAATTATATCTAGCTTTTTCATCAGACCAGGATTATTTTCACATAGCTCCATACCATAAGTTAAGGTGGGGACTGCCAATGATTTATATATATAGGAAATAGAACTGGGGTGGGCAAACCGGATTCCAGATTGAATAAGAGTTTGAACAACAGCTCTAAAGTTTGATATTTTTTCATCAACATTTGAATAACCGAGTGAAGCAAAAACTGAATGTTTAGTATCCCATGTGAATCCCAGATGTCTAAGTTTATTCTGAAGATTTTTTTTATTACCAGAAATTGTTATTGTATTAGTTTGTATTTGGGCTTTACCTGAGATCAAGAACTCAGTCTTTTCGGCATTCAGTTTAATACAATTTAGATTACTGTAAATATTGCATGTTTTTATAAGCTTTTTGAGACCAGATAAGGTAGAGCTTAAAAGTATTATATCATCCGCATAGGCTACCACACCAGTAAAGTTACCGTTTATAGATGTGCCAACAATACCCTGATTTTTAATAGTTTCGAGAAGACTTTCAGTGTAAATATTATAGAGGTGAGGCGAAAGAATTGATCCTTGTCTTACTCCTTGGTTTAGAGGAAAAGAGTTTATGATAAATTTTTAATAATAAAATAACATGCTATTATAGTTCACAAAATATTTCGATTATTTGATGCTTAGCATGTTTGCTAAAATCCTTGTGATTTGAAATTTATTTTGCAGAAATATTACAAAATTAATATTTCCAAGTATAATTTTTATTTCTAGAATAAACAATAATGTAATTAAAATATATGTATATATATATATATATATATATATATATATATATATATATATATATATATATATATATATATATATATATATATTTTGGTTGTGTTCTTATCGTTTTTATAGAGGAACCAAGATTCATTTATGTCTTTTACAAAAAGGGCATACGAAAAGGGACGCAGTAGACGTGTCGAAAAAGAATAATAAAAAATACTAGAATTTTCATCAGTACATATAGAAAAAAAATCGAATGTTGGAACTTCTAAAAGAAATGATTTCTTATCTTGCGAAAATCTAAAAGAATATTTGGACCATCATACAATGAATACTCTTATGAACAAAAGCCTTATGAGTTTAAGCATAACCCAACTTTAAAGGAAAGTTTTTCTGCATGTTTTTCTAACCAAGTAATTATGCACTAAACAAGTGGATTGACAAAGAATAGCAACAAATTTATTGTCCCAAAAAAAACTATAATCATGCACTGAAAAACAACCTTTTGTCAACAAAAGAATGGCATAAATTTCCATTGATAAAGTGTAAGATAACAGATAGTCAGTATCTAACTTGTTTTGTGTTTTTTTTAGAGGTAACTTAATTACTTTTTTGTAGCAAAATGTTTTATAATTAGATTCATTTTCATGTTGTGAAGAATACAACTTTCTACATCAGATGAATAATATGTTAAAGAAAGCATTAAAAATAAGAATAACAAATCATACCGCTCTTCATTGCCAGAACCTCTGCCACCTATTATGAATAAGCTCAATGCTAAAAGTATAACACAAATATCATGTTTTTTTCTTAATGGTTTATAAACTGAAATAGATTCTTGTTTAATTTGATCTGAATATATCTATCTAGTTATTAATCTTTTTTAAGTATTACTAAGATTTTCCTTTTATTTTAACTATTTGGGTGTCCTGTTATTTGTAATGTTGTTAAATTGGTTACATATATTTATATGATTGACAACATTCTATTGTATTAAAATAATTGTATTATTTTAATACAAAAAAAGATAGGTATAAAAGAATAGAAATGGATTATTTATAATATTGTGATCCGATAAATCATGTGTGTAGCATTTTACCTTTAGTAGTTAAACAAAATTCTTTAATATCGTAACCTTTTACAGGATAAAGTTTTAGCTGATTTAAAAAGTAGGTTTTCTAAAATATTATGGCAACTTCTGCGATGGAGTAATTAAAAACTTACATGTATTTTTGGAATTTTAGTTTGAGTTACTCGAGCATAATTTGAATTTTAAAGTTCTTATTTCATTGTTTTGCTATATGATTTTATGAGCTAAATATGTTAATCAATCTTTTTATTCTTGTTTGTAGAGATGCAAAATGTTATTCTCATCGAGCTTGCAGAAATAAAAGTTCTTTTAAAAGAAGTTATAGAAATTAAGTTTCAGGCTACTGGGGTGAAGTTGCTAGAATCAGTGGACGAAGTGGTTACACTGGATAATAAACTAAAAGATAAAACCGAGTATACTAATTTGGTATAATCTAATTATCTTAATTTTTAATAAATTTGTTTAAATTTGGTTTACTAGTTTAGAATCTAAATGAAAAGTATTTGTAAATGAACTAAAATAACTAGCTTGCGTTAGACTCAATATGTTGTAAAGAAATTTAAGTTACACTAGTTTTTATTACATTTATTTCAGCTTGATAGTTTGAAAAAGATTGGTGGTGGAAAGCCAAGAGAACATGTTTTTTTGATCATGAAAAGGTAAATGATTATGTTTTTATTAATTATTAGATATATGATTAAAAGGGACCGAAAGCAATTCTTTTTGAGCGTTATTTGTTATGGATTTACTTTTAACATAACAATTTGATAAACTTGGGAGCTTCACTGTAGGTGTTTAAGTTTGTTTGTGTGCTAAAGTAAGTGTAATGCTAAACCTTGTTTAGCATTTTATTTTCAAATTTAATGTTTTTACTTTTCATAATTTTAAGCATTCATATATTAAAATATATTTTAATTTATTACCTATATTAAAATAAAAATCTTTATAAATATATTTCAGTTTATTGTTAAAATATTTATCAGGTTATTTTCGAATCAGTTACAGTCCAAATTTAATCGAAAAGGAAATGGGGAAAAGATAAGCTTAGAAAATCTAGTAAATATATGGAGTGTTTTACGAGGTATAGTTTTAATAGTATTTACAAAACTGATATCTGTATTAAAAAGATATTCTTCGACTTTTTTGTGTCATGCTAGAATTTTTGTATCCATAATACAAGTTCCTTTAGTTTTTTCATAAAAAAATTGTTGTTTATTATTGTATCTGGTTGAGATACAAATCTTCTTGTATATATATATATGTATATATATATATATATATATATATATATATATATATATATATATATATATATATATATATATATATATATATATATATATATATATATATGTGTATATGTATATATATTTGTATATATATGTATCTATACATATACATATACATATACATATATATATATATAAATATATAAATATATATATATATATATATATATTATTAGTTTTCGTGTACAAATAATGAACTTTGTGATGAATAAAATTTGAAGAACGTTGTCACAGTTACATAGTTATTTCTCTAAATTGAAAAAATGCAGCACTTTTATACAAAGAAACTAAATTAGCATCATTTGGTTGCACTGGTTTTGTCCGATACTGTATGTGTATATATATATATATATATATATATATATATATATATATATATATATATATATATATATATATATATATATATATATATATATATATATATATATATATATATATATATATAATATTTCATAAAAATAGATTCAGAATTCTACATGTCTTTTAAAGTCATTTAAATGTCATTAATGTATATATTTTAGATATCGGCGACGTGGAAGAAAATGTTGACGGCAATGCAGAAATATAGTTTCTTATGTATATATTGTGAAATAAAAATTAAGTAATGTTAGTTAAAATGTTTCTTTACTTATTTAATTTAATCCTTTTTTATGACTAATTTAACCGCTGTAACACCTTTGTATCAAACATGTCCCAGCAAACAAAAAGATATCTAAAATGCATCTAATATGCATCTAAAAACTGGTCTAAAAGACGTCTAAATTCACGTCGTGAACGGGACATATATAGATGTCTATCTTATAGATGTCTTTTAGATGCATTTTATTCGACTCAAATAAATCCTTCAGATGCATAAAAGATGTGAAATATACATTTAAAGATGTATATTAGATGTATATTAGATGCATAAAAAAGCTATTATTAGCTAAAAAATTATCTATTATCTATCTTTTTTAAACGCGCCTTAGACATCTATTTAAGAGACGTATTTTATACATCTAATATGCATCTGTAAGATGTATATTTCACATCTTTTATGCATCTAAGGCAATTATTTGTGTCGAATAAAATGCATCTAAAAGACGTCTATAAGATAGACGTCTATTTATGTCCCGTTCTAGACCTGAATTTAGACATCTTTTAGACCAGTTTTTAGATGCATATTAGATGCATTTTAGATATCTTTTTGTTTGCTGGGCTGATTAATATATTGAGACACAAGTTTTCAACTGCCAAAACATAAACCAATGTATTAATTTAAAAGATCTGGGAAGAAAAGAGATGGTTTGTGCGTATTTATATGTAATACTTGAGTAAAGCTAAAAAATGATTTGCACTCAACCAGTAATGATTTTTAACCACTGTACGTAGAAACAATAAACAAAACCACGAAAAACATTATTATCCACGTGTTATACAGACCACCTTCCGGCTCAATAAAACAATTTGAAAACCAATAAAACAAGCTAAAAAAAGATTTTTTGCTCAAGCACTAATGATTGTTAGAATTTCAATATATCTATCAGCATTAATTCAACCTTCAAATAATTGATAGCATCTAAGTCCTGCATAATTCATGCTGGCCCAAATGCCACTGTCACTCTCTTGCGTGGTTCGATTTAATGTACAATTTGAATGAAATCTTTCTTGAGTTGATTGTCGTTACACAACATTTTCGCATATCTATCTCAACATTCATTTCGTCTGAGAATAAAACATTTCGCCGCTTGCAATAAGACCAATTTTTATGCTAATTGCACCTGCGCAATCCTTGCCTTTTGATGTTTTTTTTGAAAGTCTTGGCTTTTTGCATGCAGATCGCCACGTATAGTTATTTCTATGAAGAAATTATTCGAAAAGTTCTTGTACTCACATTTATTTCAGAAGTATTGTACAAGTTATGGCACAGAGAGAATTAATAAACGTTCATCTCTTTGTGTTGTTATAGTTGGCCAACCAGATTGTTGCCTTTCCTTAATGTCACCTGTGTCAGTATAACGTTTTAAAATACATGCAATAACCGAATATGCGATATTTGACTTTTTGCTATTTGACGACGAGCTAGTTCTTGTTTCGAAGAAAAATAGATTTGTAGTGTGTTTTACCTGAGATTCTCGACCGTGATTTAGTAGTTTCATGCTGTATTTTTTCGCTCATTTTGTTACTTTTTTATTTTTCAATTTATTTGTGTTTTTATTTATACTATTTCAAAATAAAAAAATTAAAAAATTAGAGTTAATAAATGTTGATGTAAATTAAATTAAATTATCGAAAAAGTCATCAATATATTAGATTAATTTTAAAAATATAGCAACGAGCCTTAAATTTTGACCGAAATAAAAAACAAAAATAATATAGTAGATATTATAAAGTTACATATAATCAGGCAAAAGATTTTAAGGAAACAACATGTCAATTAAATAGTAAACATGGTATTTATTAATTAGAACTAATAAAATATTTAAAAAATTTGAAAGTTTTTAAAACAATTTATATTTCAGCCTGGTAATTCAACTGATCATGCTATTACTAATATTGTTCATGATATATTTTAAGCATTTTAACCCTTGGAGTTTTTGTATATCTTAGCAATGCTTTTGATACAGTAGATCATAAAGTTCTTATAAAAAACTTGAATGTTATGTCTCTGGATAGCCATGAGGCAAACTTCAATAACTAATTTTTCTTTGTTCTAAAAGCGTATGAAAATTTGAAAAATTTTTTTGGTAAAAGAATTATTATAGAACTAAAAGAAAACAAAAAAAAATTTTTTTAAAGTTTAATCATATATTTTTATTAATTAATTTAATTTCATGGCGATAAAATAAGAAATAAATTTTTTTTAAGTAAAAACCGCTTCATAATTTTTTGCTGATACCATAGCCAAGGCCGGCGGCATAGGGATGTGTGTGTGTAAGGGGGTGTGACACCCCCATCAATGATTTTTAGTCGGCAAATTTTACCCTTAGTCGGCAAATTTGACCCTTTTTGACTAGTTAGTCGGCAAATGTAGACCCTGTCAATAAATTAGTCGGTAAATTTAGACAGTCAGTTGGCAAATGTCGTTATTGCAGTCGGCAAATTTTAAAAAACAAGGACCTTTTTTTTTTTTTAGTCGGCTAAAAAAGTAATGCCCCCCCCCCCCCCCCACGTGATACCTACTCGCTCCGGCCCTGACCATAGCAGTCATTTTTTGCTTATTTTGAAATTTTTCATAAATATTTAGCGTTCCCTGATAGAAACGAGGTGAGCCGCTGTCAAAATTTACTTTTCTCATTTTACATTTAACCAAAACTGACTTTTCCTTATAATTATTCAAAAAATGCATTATTATTATTATTATTATTATTATTATTATTATTATTATTATTATTATTATTATTATTATTATTATTATTATTATTATTACTATAACTAATGTTATTATTATTATTATTATTATTATTATTATAATTATTATTATTATTGTTATTATTATTATTAATGTTATTATTATTACTATGAATTTACGATGCTGTATTGGTCATTTTGCCCAAGCAAAACAATTCTTGTCAAAGATGTAAGACATTTATTGCTAATTATAAGTATTTTATAAGGCTTTTATTCTAAAAAAATAAGCTTGTTAAAAATGCATTAAAAGTAAATCTTTCGGACGAAGATTTAAAAAGTAAATCTTTTGCTTAATAGTTATTTTATTTTTTTATCCAGTGATGTAAGACGATCGAGAAAAGCATTAAAAGCATTAGTAAACGAGTTATTAGTGTCCAGTTTTCTTTTCGGAGTAAGTTTTTTCCTCAGATATTGAGGTAGATATTGAGATATTTAAATACAAGTTTAGGGAGTTTTAAAAATGGCTGAACCTAACATACGTTGGAGTAGTGATCCAGCTGTCGTGGAATCTCTTGGACAAGTCAAAGTGCGAGAGTTGCCATTGTTTTTAGGTCGAAACCTTACCCCAGCATCTTTAGTGCAAAGAGTCGTTCTCTGGAGTAAAAGTTGGGGAGATCGATTTGTGCACGTACCTAAAGTTGGAATGCGTGCGTTTTGGATGTTAGCATTTTTTACCAGCTCGCATCAGTATTTAATTCGTTACCACTTTTCTCCAATTCATAAAAAGCATAAATGGAGAAAGTATCATTAAATACAAACTTTACACAGATAGAGAAACTTTGTTACAATATTTGAATTCGTCTCTGTCTCAAATTTTGTATAATAGAAATATATAAGATTGCAAAATTGAATATTTACTCTAGAATTATACAAACTCAAGGGTTTTGAGTTTGTTTTTTTTTGTTTTTTTTTTGAGATAAGTAAATCTGTTACATTGAATTAAAAAATAAAATTTGAAAATTAGCATACTTGTTTGTTACAATTTATATTGCTCTTTATTACAAACTTTTAAATTTGCTAGTATTAAGTTTATGTAGAGATTTTAAAACATTATATTTGTTTGTGAACACTATATACCAAAACTAATATATGTATATATATATATATATGTGTGTGTGTGTGTGTGTGTGTGTGTGTGTGTGTGTGTGTGTGTGTGTGTGTGTGTGTGTGTGTATATTTGTATATATATATAAATATGTATACATGTATATATATATATATATATATATGTATGTAGATATATATATATATAGGCCCGGCACTAGACATTTCAAAGGTTGGTGAAAAAAACATTTTAGCGCCTTAACAAAACAAATTTTAAATTTTGTAATGCATTTTATTACAAATTCTATGAACAAAAGTTATAAGTAATTTATTTTGAAATTTTGAAATGAGTAATTTATTATTGAAAAAAGTACTTTTCATAAATAATACTTCTAAACAATGTCAATGATTGGTTAGCAGAAAAATGCACATGCATGATTTATTCTTAATTAAAAAATTTTTTTTTTGAGTTATAGTTTTTATTACAAATCAATATATTCTTATTCTTATGTAAGATGAGTATATTATTATTTTTTATTTACTCTTATAAACTTGTATATTTTTATATTCTCAGGAAAAAAATAAGTATTCAATAAAAATTTGGCACCTATGAAGTCTTGTGCCTGGGTAAAAATCACCCGTTGTACCCGCCTTCTGTCGGGTCTATGTGTGTGTGTGTGTGTGTGTGTGTGTGTATGTATATATATATATATATATATATATATATATATATATATATATATATATATATATATATATATATATATATATATATATATATATTAAAATGCATCAAATATCCTATTTTTTAAGAAAGATCTAAAGATCTGTTCCCATTGATTTTTAATAGCCACTCTATTAAGTTTTTTAAATATTCTTATTGATTTAGAGGCAACCTCTGATTTAAATTTTACAATAAGTTGCTTAATGCAAAAAAAAAAAAAAAAATCAAAATTATGTGTTAAAATTAAGTTTTTTTAAATATTTCAAAAATAATTTTACATAAAAATAATTTATTATTAAAACTATTTACATAATAATTTTTTTTTTTTTTAAATCTTAAACTTTTTTTATTTACATCTAGGGTTTAGCTTGTTTTTTTTTTTAGTTCTAATTTGTGGTGCTTATTTTTTTACTCAAGATAATCATGTGTTAGTTACAATAATAATCATGTATTTATAAACATTTTAGAATTTTTTAAAAACATGTCTAATGAAGAACCAATGCAAATCGCAGATGATGCTTCTGGTAAATTTCTAAGTATTAATACGCCCTTTTTAAAAAAAAATTTTAACAAAAAATTAATTAAGTTTTCGTTTTTCAGCTAACACATCTGCTGACCAAACACCTTCAATCCAAACTGTAGAAGAAACAGTAGCAGATCATGTTAACCCAGAGGTTGTAAAAGATGATTTTGCACACACAGTTCAAGAACCAAAAGAAGATACTGAGCCTGAAAAATCTACAGAGAATACCCATAAAGCAACAAATGAAGAAATGGCAGAGCTGCTTTCAGAGAAAACAAAAGTATTATTTTTACATTACTATCTTCTCTTCTAAGAGAAAAAAAGTATTATTGTTAAGTTACCATCTTCTCTGAAAAGAATCTGCTTTTCAAATTGTCTCCTATATCTACTTGACTGGACTGCTCTATTCATCACCTATATGCTATCATTTAGAAACTAAATACTCATTTTGCTTATTATTTTTTATTATATGTCTAACTTTTGATTTATTTTGCATGGCTTTTTTTTTTTTTTTTTTCCAGAAAGTTGTGAATGATGAGCGTGAAGCAGCAACCAAACCCAAATCAAAAGTTGAAATCCAGTCTTTACCCACACGACAATATTTAGATCAGTCAATTGTTCCTATTCTTTTGCAAGGTTTAACTGCTATAGCTAAAGAACGGTATGTTTTTTTATATACTCTCAATCCTGATGAGAAGTTTATATATGTGTGTGTATATATATATATATATATATATATATATATATATATATATATATATATATATATATATATATATATATATATATATATCGATAGGCTGTGCGAATTTCACAAATGCGAACTGTCGTAAGTGCAGAACAGTTGGAAAAACTGGCACAAATGCAAGTTGGCATAAGTGCACCAAAAGGTTTTGAAAACATTAGTATAAGTGCGAACTGGCATCAGTGCAAGGCAATTTAAAAAATTGGAATAAGTGTGAATTAGCATAAACGCACCAAATAAATTTGTAAACATTGGCATAAGTGTAAATTGGCATTTCGCACTTATGCTGATGTTTGTAAATTCTTTTGGCACACTTATGCAAATTTGCACTTTTGCCAGTTTGAAATATGGGTGAATTTGAAACCGCCATTGTTTCAAGTTCACGGATCTGAATCAAATAACGATGTAAGCTCTTTGTGTTAACACAATTGATTGTCTGTTTTCCAGATAAAATATGATTATTCAGTTGTAAACTTTTCCATATTTAATCTAGAATTACACTTTAAAAATCTGAAAATTAAAATTTATTTATTCCGCAATGTTATTCAATTTTAAAATGGCGTGGTGACTTTCAGGCCACCCTATCAGGCTTGAACAGGAATAGCGTGCGATTGCACTCTGTAACTGACCATGCTAATTTTTTTTTCTTTACAACTTGACCACGGCTATAACAATTTTAATGCAATAAAAAGTGTTACATTGTATCTTTTAATCGTTGATCTTTTCTAAAGTTTTTTTTTACGCAAAGGCTTTGAATAAAACTATAAAATTAATTATAGTTATATTTTACATAAAGCATGTGTAAATTAATAAAAAACGTTATATATAAGTTTTTTTTTATGTAGGCATGTATTTTTTATAATAAATTTAAACATTTGAAACTATTTTTCAATGTCTTCCTAAAACATTTTTAAACCATTATTTTTAGAAAGAGTATTTTTTAAGTTACTTTAATTTATGAATAAGTTCAAAAGCTTTTGTGACTACTAGGCTATACACATTTTATGTAAACTATACAAAAATAAAAAATAACATTATTTACTTATATAAGCATGTATTTTGTTGATTAATGAAAAAGTTTTAAAGCATTTTGAAATATTCATATAGTTAATTCTTATAATTAAATTTACAATTTTTAAAACTGTTTAAAATAAAAATTTTATTTAAAAAAAATGTTTATTTATTTCTATTTTTATTTTGATACGAATACATGAGTTTAAATCTTTTATAATAATTATTAAAGGGATCCCTAAGTGCTATAAAGATATAATCTCATATGAAAGAGCATAAAAAAAAATGTTTTATGTATATTATTTTTTCTAAAACGTAATAATGAACACACACTAACAAACTTAATTTTCAAAAAAACGCTTTTCTTCGATTTAAAAAAAAGCGTCTTGTCCAAAGTTTATTGACTCTACTGCCTCAAAAAACTAACGTTTGTACGTCAAATTAAACAAAGTAGACAAAATGTCATTATTGCAAACTTATAAGTTGGTAATTAAATTTAAAAGTAAAGTCGTTTTTTTTCAACTAACTTATAATTACTTACAAAAATAAGTTTTGTAGCATTTTGTGAAAATATATTTGTATACTAAAGTTTTTTTTATAATATTAATTTATATATTTGTGTTATAAGGGCAATTCCACGGCTAAAAATGAATTGAAGTCAAATTTTAAACTCTTTTTAGTTAAAAACAAATGAATATTGACTTAGACATGTTAAAGTTTATTTAAAATATTTCCTTAGTAGAAAAATAAATTTTTTTCAGTAATTTTTATGGTTTCAAAAGTGACGGTTACTCTCATTTTTGCTTGATAAAAAAAATAATTATTGTAAAATGTTTTAGTTAAATTAATATTTATGTTATATTGCTATATTTTTTTGGTTCAAATTGATAAGGTTGAATAGACATTTAATTAGAAATTAAACTAAGACAGGGCTCGAATTAACGCAAAAAAAATCTAATCGCAAAAGAGCAAAAAAAATATATTTTTTTTTTGCTCTCTCCTCACCCCCCCCCCCCCCCCCCTCACCTCTCTCTCTCTCTCTCTCTCTCTCTCTCTCTCTCTCTCTCTCTTATAGCTCGCGCCGATGTGCGGTAATGGGGGAAAAAATTATTGTCAATAAATAAAAAAACATCGTCAAAAACTTAATAAAAAAATTAGATTTCTTGAATAAAGGACTAATAAAAGTTTAAATATAATTAAGTTTTTCATTTATTTCATCTATCTATTCAGAATAATAAATTTTGTGTGACGTTCTTTATGATAAAAACATTACTTTTAAGAATTGCTAAAAAAATGCTAAGCTAAAAAAAAAGTAATTAATCAACCAAAAAAAAAACAAGTCGCGAAAAGATTTTTTTAAAGAAAAAACTAATCACAAAAGTGTGTGTAGCAATCGCATTCGCGATATGCTTAATACGAGCCCTGTAAGACTTTTTTATAAGTTCTAAACTATTTAAAACTATTACTTAATAACTTTTTTTTAACGACGTCTTTCAACCGAATGCTATTATACTGTTTTTGCAAAACTAATTAAAAAAACTTGATTAAAAATTAACTATTTAATCGCGACTTTTTTTTACTTGAAAATCGAAGTAGATATTCTAAAGTTGTTGTGGCGTAGTAACGTTATTTTTAACGACTAACAATCGAGTTTCAATGGTGAAAAAATAAAATCAAAATGGAGTTGTTTTTTAGTGATTTCGGCAATTGCTTTTTGTTAGCATGCATTTATCATTACAATTTAGTGAAAAAGAAAAAAAACTTTTTTTTTTATGCTCTTTCATATGAGATGATATGTTAGGAGCACTTAGGGATCCCTTTAAATTCATTACGCGAGGCGCTTATTAATAAAGTTATAATGCTCAAATTAAAATTAAATTAAAATGCTTTTTGGCAGTTTATTTTATTTAAATCACAGGCTTATTTTATTAATTTTTACTGTTTTTACGAATAAAAAAAAAATGAAAACCTTTTTTTTTAATTAGACATACTAATTAGAGCATGAAATTATTAAAAATTACTATTTTAAAAAGACTACATTATTTTTTAAACAATTTTTTTTTTTTTTGCAACTTTTTTGAAAAATATATTTTTATACAATTTAAAAATATTATATACAACACTTTTTAATAAATTTAATAAAATTTGTTCATTTATTAAACAATCATTAGTAGTAATTTGTTACTTTAAAAGCGTTTTGCGAAACTTTAATAAAACATAAAAAAATAAAAAATAAAAAGACTTCAAACATAATTAAAAACATAACAAAAAGTTTCGCTTCTAGTCTAAGTTTTTATTTTTATTTTAGTGCTTATATGATTTCTTTTTCGTTACAAATTCGTTTTTTTGTTTCTTTTTTCGTTACGATTTTTTTTTTTCGTTACTTTTTTTTAACTTTTTTCCTAGTTTAAGGTTAGCTAAGCGTTTCTGAGCATTTCTGAAATTTTTAAATCATCAAAATATAAACAATCGTGGTCAAGTTGTCAAAAAATAAAATCATTTGCATGGTCATCAATAGTGCTCGATCTCACACCATTCCTGTCCAAGCCTGCTCTATGTATAAATATATATATATTATATTTTGTTAATTCACCTCCTCAAGGCCAAGAAGGGCACTACAGTCAAAGAGGCTACTTATTTGTGGTTATAACTCTCTCAACTCTATTACTCCAAAACACGAACCTTGGCGAACAAGGCCTCTGCGCGCAGAAACGAATTGAGTGCGATACTACCAGGGACGCGGTGAGGATCGATCTTGGAACTTCTCGCTTATGAAGTGTGCGCTCTACCACTACACCACTACCACATAAATTTATATATGTGTATATATATATACACACACACAGCACTCGGAATAAGGAAAAGTTAGGTTGGCAATTATTTGCTGACCTTGATCTGTGTAAGGTCTGCAAAAAAAATTTAAAACAAAGGTTTGACTATAAAACATTGAAACAAGGTCAACGATTTTTTGCCAACCTCAAACACTTCTAGGTTGACATTGCTGAATGCCGACCCGTAATTCCAAGGGTTGTATATATATATATATATATATATATATATATATATATATATATATATATATATATATATATATATATATATTTATAAATGAAATATATTTATAAAATAAATATGTTTATAAAATAATTATATATATATATATATATATATATATATATATATATATATATATATATATATATATATATATATATATATATATATATATATATATATATATATATAATGTTTATAAAATAAAATTTATATAAAAAATAATCATTATTTTATAAAAGCATTAAAAAAAAATTATAATTGAAAAAATTTAACTCTTTCAGCGCCGTGGTAAATTCTCGAATAACCAGCAGAACATAAAAACATGAAAAACTAAAAATATGTCTGTTAAAATTAGCCACAATTACTTTTCATATATAACATCTGTATACACATGTAATATTTTGTTAAAAAGATTTTACATTTTTTTAATTAAAATTATCAACCAGATTTTCAAAATATTATTTTATTAAAAGGTACTGAGAAATCTCCAACTAAAATGTTGAACAACAGTACAAAAGCATAGCTCTTTTTTTTCATTCATTAACATCAAAACTTTACATGCATACACATAAATATACAAAAATATACAAAGAGAATAAAAAGCTGAAAATATTAGCTTTCAAATAGTATAAGACGTTATGTTGACAATAAAACAACAAGTTTTAAATATTTAATTAAATTTGTTTTTTTGTTCAACTCAGCTAAACTTTATGAAAAACTTTGAAGCATTCTTTAGGATAAAAGTATATATTGCATGTACTACACTTGAAATTTGTCCTTTTTTCTTGTTATTGAAGTACTACAAGCAGCACAATTTTGATCCTTTGCATGCCATTCTATAATATGTATGTCCTTTATTTTATGAAATTTGTGGTCTGAGGGAATAACTTTATCTGCCTCATTAATAAGTTCCTTTATAATTATCTTTTTAAATTTTAAAGAGGAAGAAGGTTCAGTATCAAATTGTCGCATTAAGCAATAAAGTATGTATGTATTAATATAAGATACTTCAAAGCACCATATAAACAAATGTTTCCACCATTTTAAAGTTTTTTGATTAAAGCTATTATATTATCATTTAATTCATATGGTCGCACCCATTCATTGAACTATTATATTCATTAATAAAAATAAGTAGCATAATTTTTGTTCCTGGTTTCTAAGTGTTATATTTCAATCTAAATTTATGTCTAAAGTATGTGAAAAAATGACTTCATTAAGCATAAACTTTGCTTACACAACAAGAGCACAAAGAAAACTTGTTTTTTTTTTGTGAAAATAGAACAGTTTTTTGTTTTATTTTTGTCATTTATGATCAGGTAAAAACAAAAATTGCACAAGGAATAGACAAACACAGTCGAAAATATATCTTGATAAAAGCGCTCGCGTTGTTCCTCGGAGTAAACGCTTATGTTCTTCTTGAATTTGTCAAGATATAAATCAAGGATATATTGACTTTTAGAGGCATTCTGCATCCCATTTTGGCGTAATTTTTTAGACAAGAGTCTGCACCAACTCTACATAGTTTTTAGCTTTGTTATTACCTATGAAACCTTAAACAACTGCAATGAAACAGCTCTCTGTCCAAGCGGCTCTCTCTGTCATGTTCAGCAGCTTTGCAAAATCCTCACATTCTAAGATTTTCTTGATCTGGGTCTGACGGATATACCAGCCCTGACCTTAACTTTGAACACCTTTGGAAAAAGATCTAGGAGGTATTAAAATGCTGCTGACTCATTGTCAAGAGCAGTGACAAGTTGCTTATTGAGGCCTAACTTGATGTGCAGCGGTGACATAACCACTTTCTGAGATTCTATCAGCTGCTACCACTTCATATTGCTCTTTCTAACAGAAAACTTGGTCTTTTGTGGTCTTTGAGATGCACAGAGTGAGCCATAGACCGGCAATGATGTTGCCGGCCTATTCCAGCCTACACACAGCCCATCACACTAACTGAAGAAATTAGAGAATCTGTGATGCGTTTCCTCAACTCTGTGACTTGTATGCTATCATCAACCAAGTTCCACTGTTTGAGCCTGGATATCAGAAGCTCAGCATTCGATTTTGTGAGCTCAAGATCCTTAATTAAATTGTTCATGTCTTTTTGGTAAGGGAAGTATGGCTTACTTTCCCCAACTTTATCTGCGGAATTATAGTCCATATCTCCGTTATCTGCTTAGTTATCTGATTTGTTGATGTCTCCTGAAAATGGCTGATGCTGCCTAGAAGGAGTCGGAACAGGCAGATGCGGTACTTTGGTGATGAAAGAAGGTATGTCCGGATAAACAATCTGAGGGACATTTTTTGCCAGTGCGATGATTTTTTGAGTTTACCATGCAGAAGTAGCAGCTGCCTGAGTGGTCCATCGCCATATTCGCAACTTCATGGATTGCTTCTCTCCTCTGTACCAATTAGCACATAATAATATATAAGAGTTATAATAATTTGAGAAATTTCAAAATATACAAATATTTCAAGATAGAACATACACAACTTATGACAAAACTTTGTAAATTACAACTCCTTGAAATGAACTAGATCTAAAACATTTAAATCTTATGAAAATAAATTTAAATAAATCTAAGCAAGAAGCAACTGTTCAGTTTACTTTCAAGTGTTTTCTTGCATATTTGCATGTAAAATGCTTTGCCCAAGATTTGTCTTGGTCTCCAATCGGCTTGCCGAAGTATGCCTTATAGGCCCGGCACATTTTACAACTTGATTCCACAGAATACTTTTTTACTCTTGTCTTTATGAATTGTCCACACATGTAACAGAATGAATTAGCTGGATGCAAACAACCCCTTGATGTCATATCAAATAAATAACTTTTCTTTAACTACAAATCATTATCCTTTTAGTCTGCAATAATACAAGTTGAAATCTTAGTTTGAAACACCTGTGCTTTTATACTTGTACAGCTATTTTTGGAACATTCTAGAAAGTTCTGAGAGTTTCTCGAAAGTTCAGGAAGTTTCTTGAACGTTCTAGAGTGTTGATGAGAATTGTAGAAACATCTGGACAAACTCTAGCAGTTCAGGAATATCATAAAAGGAAGCTTGGCATTGAAAGCAAATAGAGAATTCTATTGAAAACACACGATTTTCTAAATTAGATTGTCCTGGTCACAGAAGCAAAGATTTTCTGGAATAACAGAGATTTCCTTTCAGTTCTAGACCTAACGGGTTTGAAAAACACTCTTTCAACCCAGAAACAGCACAAAAGTGAAAATTTGTTACATAGTGTAATTGCAAGCTTTTCGGTTATATTTTACCATATTTATCTACTTCACTTTTTTTTTTTTTTTTTTTTTTTTTTTAGCTTTTTTTGCTTTTTTATCTTTCCATTAATAAACCAATATTCCTTTTACGCTTCGATAACAAATAGATTCTGTACGGTTTATTTTTGAGTTTTTAATTTCAGTTGGGAAATTTTTTTAATTAGGCATCAGATCACAGAAAATACAAAATGAGAGAGTGAGTAGTATGGTATGTCAGCAAACACATGATATCTTTTGTCAAGAAACGGTAACAAGTAGTCAATCATCTGCTCAGATTGTCCAGCGTTTGTGCATGACAGGTAAAGAAGGCTCTTTCCCAAAATAAATTAATAAATTAAATGCATAGCCAGTAATAGAATCACATAAACCATATGTTTTTATATAAAATCTGGTTTCAAAGGATTATACATTTTATATTTTGAACGTCCTTCCCATTTAACAACCTTTTCATCAATAGAAATATTTTGTTCAGGATAAAATACTGCTTGAAATTTTTCTAAACGTAAATTTAAAAATTGTTCAATTTTTTCTTTTTTAGACTTTTCATCCCAAATGCAAGTATCAACATGAATCATAGTGGAGCATAAAATCTCAAACCTATTACATGATCATTGTTCATGGTACCATGGTGAATAACAAAAGATCTTCATAGACCAGTAATCTTTTAACATAGCTCTTCGGTCAATGCTGATAGAAATCATTACTGCAATTATTTATAAAAGTTTGTATCATGTAATAGGATACCTTTCACAATAACAAGAGGTCTTTGATGAACTCGTTTGCTGCATTTTTGTGCTGGCATAATCATTTATTAAAACAACCATTTTTTCTTGAACATCTATATCAAACAAAGTAAGCAAGTGAAGTAGAGTCAAAATTTAAATCTGCATGAACTCCTTGAGTACTTTTAGAATTAAACCGAACTCATGTAATGTTGTATGATTGTTAGAATCAACTTCATGCTATTTGTCTAAGTTTTCTTCATCTTTATTATCAGTCTTCCTTCTTTTTTCAACAGTAACTTGATTGGATGCTATATTATTATTTGAAAAATTAAGTTGAAAATAGAGCAACTATTTTATAATATGATATCTATACATGAAATTTTTCCTACCTATTTTTTCACTGAAATTTAATGCTATGGTTATTAGTGTTATTGTATCATTAGCTTGATCATCGGATTCATAATCCTTGATGTCCTCACATTCACTAATTTCTTCATCAGAATCACAAACTGCATAATCATTCTCAAGCCAATTTAAAATATTTTTGACAGCAACCTCATTTGATACACGATTTCGAATTGGTTAACTTTTTTTTTAATGACGAACCTGCCATTTAAAAATCCTTAGGAATAAAATTAATATATTTCAAAAGTAAAGTTTCTTTAAAGTTAAAACTAATCAAATTGAGTAATTTATTAAACTGACAGTAGAAATTCTCACCTTGCTTGAATCTAAAAATGTTTTTAATTATTGTTATTCTAAAACCGTTATCTCCGGCTTGCTGGTTATTAAAACTAAGTGTCGATCCTGTGACAGCGGCTCGCGGCGTTGAATGAGTTAAAAGATGTCATTTTTTATTTACTAAAATCTAAAATAATTAATAATTTGTTTATAAATGATTCATTTTTGAAGTTTGTATATAATTTCGCTTTTTGAGACCCTTCTTTCTAAGCTTATATTAGGATCTTTTTTAAAGTTTTATTCTAATATAAGCTTTATCCTAATATCTTATATATCTTGTTGGTTTTTAACTTTCAGGCCTGCTGAACCCATTGATTTTTTAGCTGCATACCTCATGAAGAATAAACATTTGTATCAAAGTTGAAATCAAAACCTTTAACAGTTTTACTAAACAGTTTTCATTAGGTTTAGCTATATTTATTGGCAAAAATTGTGACAAGTTTCAAAAAGAAATGTTAAACAAGAATGGCTTTTTATTTTCTAAAAGCAATTTTATCAGAAGATGAGAATTTAAATTGCGAGACAGACAAAGATAATTTCAATACGGAAAGTTGTACAAATATTGGTTCAAAAAATATAAAACATTTTAAAATATACTAATTTTCTTAATTTTTTTTTTTTTATTCTTTGGTTTATTCAAGTTTAGGTTTATAAGTTGTTTAACATTATCGTTTTAAGTTATGACATAATCGTTGTTTTCGAAAATCAAGATTTTTTAGAACTTTACACCCATTCTAAAATATTCCCTTTTAAGGCGCCATATTCGTTTCATGGGTAAGGTGGGTATTTTTTTTTTAATAAAATAAAACATTTGTTACATATGTCATACTAGCAACTATCAAATTGACTTGAGAAATATATTATAATGTCGTCATATATGACAACAGTAAAGTTTTAGACTGTCTTGACTACTGCGTGCTCTAAAAAATATATCGCCGTGTGGTCTACTCATAACTGTTTATTTTGTTATAGTTTCTAATTGATTTTTAAGTACGAAGTTTGTATTCTCTGCTTCATCCATGAGTTAAGCATGAAACACCTAGCCTAGAATTAAAGAGCACAAACGAAAAAACCATAGATTTTTGCAGTATATATAGATGTTGTCATGTTGCTTTAGGTCCTTTATTTCTCTAATAAATAGTCTTTTACATATATATTTTTTTACTTACATTCTTAGGTTTGGTGATGTACTAAATATGCACCGGAAATGCATTAAAATGCTTTTAAACAAAGATTTAATTTATATCTTTTGAACAACCTTCTTTTAAACAAAGAGTTATAATTATAGATACCACGAATAGTGATTTTTGCTGAATATTCGGTTAGGTGCTCTGCCGAATATTCGGCAACAGTTATTTTGAGGGTTCTGACCCACTTCGTTTTGTGACTAGTTCGTGTCAGTACGCATTACTTGTTGACTGCAACATTGAATTTTTTAACTATAGTAATATATAAAAGTACTCTTTAAACCTTTCAAAAATAACCAGCTCGAGTCTATCTTGCATTTCTGAGATAATTTCAGAAGATGCAAAAAATAAATACAACATAAAGTAACTCCAAACTTATTAAAAATAATATCATCAACGATAACCTAGAAGCATGGTTTAAAGTTAACGAGAATGACAATTAAACGCTTGCCTTTTTTATTGACGCACGTTCCAAAACTAATTACAACTAAAGACACCTGTGTCTATTAGCAATAGAAGTAGAAATGAATCATTAGATGATTCATTTCGACTTCTAAGACTAAGAATTTTAAATCAATCTCCGCAGAAAATATGCATGCGTGAAGATTTGGAAAATTGCAATTGAAAATTCGTCGCATGAGAATTATAGGGTTCTATCTGCCTTGTTTTATGTTGAAAGAATTTAACAATCAAAGTTTTAATAATTAATAAGAAAAACAAACCACTTAAAAAATGATATATTATATATCATTTTTTAACATTTTAAACAGATAACATAAACAACTTATAATTTATAATTATAATGAATAACAGCTGTAAAACATGAATTAAATAAATATTGAAAGTTAAGTTCTCACAACATAAAAAAAGGCAGATAGAGCCCTATAATTCTAATGTGACGAATTGGTAAAAAAAACTGCAAAGAAAGCTTCAGTTTTTTTTTAATCGCATCGCCAATGTATGGAATACGCTACCTTTAGTCGCCATAAGTGCTGTATCAGTCAATTCTTTCAAAGATAGCATTTACAAATTGAAATTCAATATAGATGAATGATCGGACTCACGAGTGTCTTTTCTTTCAGCATGGAAGTGCCTGGTGTAGCACTTTCTCATCAAAATACATAAATGTAGTATATGCATATATAATTGATTTCTGAAATGCATAAACTCAAACTCATTTGCTATCATCGAACGATAAAAAGTTTTTTATCATAACTTACCACTGATAGATTTAAAGTATTAAATATGCTAATTATTTGTTTTAATAAAAGAATAAAAATAGTAGTTATGTAATCCTTTTTTATGCATTTTTTTGGTAATCAATATTCGGCCAAATAGTTTGCAATATTCAGCCGAATACTGAATAGTAAAAAAAGTAGCTGAATAGGCAAAATACCAAATTTTCTTGGCATCTCCAATTATTATATAGCTAGAGTGAGAGCGGAGTAAAAATAAGTCATTTTTCGAGGAACTGAATCGATTTTTTTTAAAAGGACGAATTTGCTCAACACTTCTTAGCAAATTCGACCTTTTAAAAAACACCGATTAAACTGTCTTAGTAGTCTGTTTTCATTTTGAACGGTTTGTTTTTGTGAACACACATTTTTCTCGCTGTTCAAAAAATTAAAGTTTTTAAAATTTATCTTATTGAAACTAGTTCTTATTTTTAATACAAAATATATAAAATACTATGGATGTTACTTCCATAACAAACAAAAAATAATGAAGAAATAATTTTAAAACAATGTCGGATGAACAGAAAAACATTAAAGTAGACTGTAAAACTTCTCAAAGAACGGGAAACAAATTTTGCGAAGATGTAATATAAGTGTAAATATGAAAAATTTAACTCATATATTGTCGAAAAAAATCTAGAAAGGTTAAAAAAATGTTTAAACTTTCCAAGAAAAGATGATAAAAGAAAAGATAGTAGAAATAAACAAACGAACACAAAATGGATTGAAATTTCACAACAAACAAACACAAAACGGATTGAAATTTCACAACAAACAGAAACGATTTGAATTAATCAAGAATAAAAAGACCATTAAATATACAAATGAGAAGTTGATTGACCTCGAAAAACGATGTTCATGAAATTATTAAACTATAACAGGTAGTTGAATCAGGTAGTTTTATGAAGACTTTGCAAATGAACCAATGGAAATTCGAAAGCTACTTCTGGGGTGAAGTATTAAATTTGCGGAAAGAGGGTAAGGATGCCATTTGAAAGTTTGACAAAATTTATTGTAGAGACCTCAAAAAGTAATATTTTATGAGTCATAAAGAAATTTTTCTACAAGTACACAGTAAAATAGCCCACATCAATAATTTTGAAAATCAAAATTCAATTTTTTTTGAAATAGACTGCATGTCAACAAATAAAAACTCAGGCCCAAACACTAATTACTACTGCGATTTGCTTAATTTTACTTTCTTATTAATAAACGTAAATTTATTAGTTACAAAAATGGAGAATCGAGAATTGGCGGCAAATGCTTATAAATCTAGAAAAAAGAGCTTTTGGTATATTTAATAGTGAAAATATGTTTATAACATACTCAAATAAAAAAAGCCAAAAATGCTGTACAAGCTCATAGAAACCATAAAGGGAATGATGTGGGACCAACACATGCGGGAGCTTTTTGCAGGTTAGTTTTGATTTTTATTATTTTGTTTATTTACATAATTTGTTTTACCACATACAATAATTATAATTGGTGCTAAATCTTTATCTCCAGTTAATAATAAAATTTTTAACTCACTACCTTAAGATTATGTTTTTTTTTTTCTTAATTTACTGATGTAATTCAAATTGTATGGAGTACAATACAGTTTTTGAACAAATTTGGTAGCAAAAATGTCCTAGACTCATACTTGCAGTCATTGATTGAAAAGATGAGAAAACGAGAGCAGAGAAAACGGCCTCAATCTAAATAACTTAAAAAAAAGAGTTTACCTTTAACTATAAATGCCAGTTCAGTGGGATGGAGGGTAGGGAGTTGATTTGTTAGTTGCAATCGACCCCCTTTTTTAAATAAATTCTCTGTGCTTTACGCAAGTTTTATGTTAAAAACTGAGCATCTTTTTTTTCAAAAAGGATGCCCCCTTTTCACGGTGCGGGCTTTTTATCATATTAAACTAAACGGGAGTAGAAAATAAGACATGCATCATCTACAAATAACACGTTGCATCGTAATCCCTCAGACGCGTTGGATCTAAGAAACCACAATGCAACTCGATTTGTAGTGATACATTACTTAAAGTGTATAAGAATATTGAGTTAAATACGTGCACTACTGTAATAAAGACTCATCCACTTATTATTTAGATAAAAACCTCAATGTGAAAATTATGCACACATTAAACGAATAAAAAATCCATATCAACCTGTTAAATGTAAGTTTTACTTAAAATATTTTCACAAAAATATTAGCTTATTATTTGGTAGAAAACAAATTGATGTCTGTGAACTGTGTATGTATGAAGTGTTAAAGATTAAATTTAAAATCTACACATAAATTTCAAAATTCAATTCAAAAAGAGTCTATCAAGCAGATATTGAGGTCCACAAAAGTCAAGCAAATAAATTAAAAAAAAAAGTACAAGAAGTTTAACCTAATTGCAAGAATGATTCAAATGTGTATGAGATTGCATTCAATCTTATACAAATTTTTCCACATTTTCCTGTCCAGGAAATCTTTCATACCGAACGAGTATGAAAATTTTATAGGCGAGACTAACGATAACCTTGAAATAAGAAAGCCTAAAACTGAAGATATTATTGACGTAAAGAAATGGTGGCCGAACCATTAAAAGAGACTGGTGCTATCTGTGGATTCATATTGCAAAAAAAATACCAAAGGACAAAAAAGTAATTTTTGGTATTTTCAAAGTGTCGCATTTCACATTCTCTAATACCACATCTGGTCTTGTAACAACGCGTGAAGTTCTCGTGAATGTGGTCTCGTGAATCTATAAGTTGTTTAATAAGTCACGATTTCAAATTTAATTTGAAGTTTTTAACACGCAAAACTTTGTTTTTAAAACTTAATAATCTTAATAACATGAAAATGCTAATGTAAATAGTTCAGTAGCATTATATAAAACTGTTATATGTAACTGAAAAATGTATATTATGTAATTAAAAACAAAATGATACTATATTATTATACCATATAAATAAATAAAATGATACTATATTATAAAGCGAAAGTGAGCATATGTATATAAATAAATGTCTTAACTATATTTTATATATTTAATATATATCCGTTTTAATTGATCCACAAAAACCAATACTGATGATGCCGTATTGATTCTATATTATTAAAATGATGAACTAAATGATTATTTTTTAATCAAGAAGGCAAAAAAAAAACACGAATCGTGCTCGTGATCGAGAAT